AATTAATCAAGGATCACTCACATAGTTTTTCCATAATTTTCTAATCATTATTCTAATTAATATGAATTAAAGATGAAAAATCAATTAAAAGAAAATAGAAAATGAATAAAAGAAATAAAAAGAATTCAGAAAATATCACAGGCGTTGGATCTGATTACTAGTCCACTCATCCAAGGGACCAGCGTGCGCCACCTCATTTAATAAAACGATGCATATTGACAAGTGATCAGGGTGTGGTTCAGTTGACTAGCATACACGGTGTGGTCTAATCACGTCCATTCAATGGAAAAGTATGATCATCCAATGCTTCAGGTTGCGCCACCTCACCAAGTCAAGGTCAAGCTAAATCTTGTACGTTGGATGCTAATACCAAGTCCACAATCTCAAACAGATCCAACGGCTCACCATCATCGTCTTCGTTTAAACTGACCAAAGGAGGGAAAACATTCCATGGTGGCCGAAGAAGAGCTCCACCGTCTTCTCCGGCGAGAGCAATCATGCTCTGGTTCCAAACTCAACCAATCTCAATGAAAATTACACGAAATCCCTCGTCTTTCCACACTGAACATGAATCTCTCATCAAAACTCACTGATTCTCAATAAATCTCTAAACACGATGATGAACAGAAAACTCATCAATTCCACAAGTGTCATCAAACTCCAAATTCTTTACACAGAACTCTTCCTCACCTCTCAAGAATCAACAGGCTATGATTCTTTTGCATTTTTACTCAAGATTCAGGCCTATACGAGCTTTAACAGAAAATGGTGTCCTTCATGAATCATCACTAAACTCCAGAATTCCAATCCTAAAACGATCTATGTCTCATCTATAGCTTAACCACATGCCAAATTCCTTCTAAACATGCTTAAATCAAGAGGAATTGTGAAAAGTAAAAACCTGTTCTGTAGCTTCGATTGAGGTGTTCTTGAGTGTGAATCTTGATGCCAAAACGTGCAGGTTTCTTTACTGAAGCTTGCTGAATGATTCTTGATACTCAGAAGCTCTTGATTCTTCCTCAAACTCCAAAACCGTTTCTTGCTTGAAAGCTCCAAAACTCCAACTGCAATAACTGCTTTCTCTCCAAATGCTACCCAAAAAACGATCTGAACATGATCCAAGACTTAAATAGAAGCTATTTGGATCATAACCTGGCCCAATGGAAGCCCAATTTGATTAATCCATAATTTCAATTTTCTTCAATGTGCAACTATGGAAATCGTGTGTTCTGGCTCTGTTTCAGCTCACTTTTCACTCAAATAGCTTGCATAACTCTCCTTGAATGTGAATGGATTAGATTGAAAGCTTGATTTGATCCTATGGTGTAGATCGGTGGTGTAACTTCATCATGAAGTAATCCAAACAAAGTCCATGAAGCAAGCCTCAAATCAAAATTCTACCAATGCCATTGTATTCAAAATTCTATTTGCAATCAAAATATGTACCAATTTGTAATTTTTTGAACCATTGTGATTTATTTTGAATTTTTCCTTTATAATGCCTTTAATAATCTCTTTTTCAAATTTTCTTCATACACTTCTTGATTCAATCCATATCAAGGGATCTTTGGGTCATGGTTAGACAAATGACACCATTTCGAACAACTTTCAAGTTGATCAAAAGTCCATTTGAGGTGTCTAAGTTGATGAAGTTGACCTATAACAAAAAATGACCTGTAATTCCAAATTCCCAAAATACCTTTATCTTGCAAAGCTTGTAACTTGAGTTCTACAAATCCAATCACGGACTTCTAGTACTTTATAGAAATCTAAGAAGATAAGGAACAACATTAATGTTGGCCAAAAGTTCATGAGAATCATATTTCTATGGAAAAAGTGTCATGCAAGTTGGTTGACTTTCAAGCTCCAAATTCACATTCCACTGATGACCTGTAACTTGTCTGGCTCATAATTTGAGTTCTATAAACCTTATCAAGGACTTCTAGTACTCAAATTAAAGCTATGCTCATGCTCTGCAACAATCATGTTGGGGTTAATGTGATATGAAAATCTCATCTTGAGTTATGTGGTCTTGAAGTTAGGCACTAAACCAGGGGATTTTACACTGTCAAACACGGCAACCCTAACTTAGGAACTCCTCACACTCTTTATTCATGATGATTTGACCTTGGAATCATCCCTTGGGAATCTTAAGACATCAATCCATGATCACATGGCCTTGGGATTAGGTCTCAACCTTCTTCAAATCATCAGTTAACCTAGGGTTGTCCAGATGAAACCCTAGTTGCACCAATCTTGGTTGTAACTTCATATCCTTTGCATATTGACCTGTCTAGGCTTCAAAATGATCTTCAACACTCCTCATGAGCTCTCTCAAGGCTTCAAGTCCAAATTCATGGCCTCAGAATCATCTGATGATCTTCCCACAACCCTCAAGTTAGGAGATGTACACACTTGGCTTCAACCACTCTCTCTGAGGATCTTTAACTTTATTGATGAGGATCTCAACCCTTGAGTATTTGAATGAAGACTCTTGGATAGCTTCATAACCTTGTGTAGCCCTTGATTGGTAGTCATACCTCTTGATCTCCTGCCCACATGTCAATATAATGCAGATGATAATGCTAATATGAATGCAATGAAACACAAGCTAAGTGGAGCAAAAGGTTAGGAAAATTTTGGGGTGCAACATTGACGGGTTTGCACCATTTGATCAAACAGGTAGGACATATTCATGTTGGCCACTAATTCTGACTCCTTACAATCCCCCACCTTGGATGTGCATGAGAAGAGAGTTCTTATTCTTAACCATTATAATTCGCGACCTTTCCAATCCAAAAGGGAGAATTGATGTGTATATGTAGCCACTTATAGATGACCTTAAACTTTTGTTGAATTCTGGTGTCATGACTTATGATGTTTTATTACATCAAAATTTTGTCATAAGAGCTTGTTTTTTATGGACAATTAATGAGTTTCCTGCATATGGAATGTTGTCAGGTTGGATGAGAATGGGTAAACTTGCATGTCCAATTTGTATGGACTCTATAAAAGCATTCACCCTTCAACATAGTCACAAGACAACATATTTTGAATGTCGCCGCCAGTTCTTGTCTCTTGATCATTGCTACAGAAGAAACGAGAATGCTTTTATAAAGAGACACGATGAGACATCATTTCCCCCACAAAGGTTGAGTGGTGAAGAAATATGGGAAATGGTTAAACATTTATCAAGCATTATTGGACCTTCATATGAAAGTTTTCTGGGGTATGGAGTTTTGTACAATTGGACCAAACAAACCATCTTTTGGGAGTTTCCACATTGGAAGGCGGATCTTCTACCACATAATCTAGATGTCATGCATATTCAGAAAAATGTGTTTCTGAATATCTTGTACACAACTATGGACATAAAGGGCAAGACAAAGGACATTTTCAATGCTAAACTAGACTCAGCAAATTTTTGAAGAATAAGAGATTTAGAGTTACAAGATGTTGGAGGGGAAAAAATAAGCCAAAAGCAAAGTACACGTTAACAAAACAACAAAGATTATCTGTGTGTGAGTGGCTAAAAAAATAAAGCTTTCAGATGGGTATTCCTCCACCTTGTCTAGACGTGCTGATATGTGAGAAGCAAAGTTATTTAGAATGAAAAGTCATGATTTCCACGTTTTCCTGCAACGATTTCTTCCAATTGCATTCAAAGCTCTGCCAAAACCTATTTGGAACACACTTACAAAGTTTAGTCGATTCTTTAGAGACCTTACTTCACTTATATTAAAAGAGGATAATTTACGTGTAATGGAGCAAAATATTCCAATCACTTTATGTAAATTAGAGCAAATATTTTCCCCTAGTTTTTTTTACTAATTCATTTTCCATATGAAACGAGCATTGGTGGGCCTATGCAATACCGATAGATGTATCATTTCCAAAGGTTGGTCCTTTTATCCAATTTTTAAATAATTACCATACAATATTTATTATATGGTAATTATATCATGTCATTGTAAAAATGTATTCATCAATTTATGCTTCACATGTTTTTTATTTTTTTATGAATTTTGTAATATTTTAGTTTAACTAACATGCTTGAACTAACAGGGCCTGAAGTTTGATATCATATCTACTTGGTGTCAATGACTTTCTGTCCTAGATATGCTGCAATTGTAGGCATAATGGGAATTTTATAATGACTTTTTATTTATAAAAATGTGAAACATGAAATATAATCAAATACATGCAATATATTCTATCCTAATGTGGATGTGGCACTTGCTACTTGCAATATAATCAAATACTATATAAGATAAGTATAGTGTGATCAATTCATGTAATGATATAATATATATAGTAGAAACCCCTACAGTAATGCCTAAAGTTTCAATTTGAAATTTTAATATTTGAGCACAAAAAGATCATGTGTAAGGCCTTACATTAACTAGTACATAGAAACCCCTACAAGAACTAATTGTCATTTTGAAATTTCAAGAAGTTAAAGGCTCTTAAAAATTAAGAAGAGTTTCAATAGCAGAGGATCTTTGGCTCTAAAATATGCTCTATATAAGGTTTGCAATGACGAGGATGATGAAGATATTCTAAAGAACTTAAAGGCTCAATGGCAAGATGAAAAGTGGCAAAAAAAAATTCTATGATTAATAAACAAAATAAAAAATCTAAAGTTGGACACAGTGTGCATAGTGGATGATGTGTGTGTGTTCGTGTGTGTGCGTGTGTGTGTGTTAGAGGACATGCCAAAAAAAATGGTTAGTGATTCTTATCAATTTCATGTTTATTTATAAATATATTTATATTAACTAAAATTATATACTCGTTGTTTTAGAGGGCGGAGTTGCATAGAGAACCAACATGTTTTGAGTTTTACCAACAACTTCATAGACTAAAGGGAAAACCAATGAGTGGTTTAATGAAACATAATCTAGGATAGTTGTATGTAGTCATTACTTTTGTTTATATCTTATAGTAATATAAATATATACTAATATTAACCTTTTTTTAAGGAAATGTATCAAACTCAAATGTTTGAGAAAAACTTACAAAGTGGTGAGGGTAGTTGTGTGCAGTCTACCCAACAATCAGATAAAAATGTGTACATGGGAGTTGTTGGAGGAAATAACAAGAAAAAGTGCATATTTAGATTAGGATCTCAAGCTGCTACTATCAAAGAATCTTTAAAATCAACTTCTTATATATCTACTGATGTGTCATCAGATAAAATTGTTGCTATGGAAGCTAAGATTGAAGCATTAACGGTTGAAATTGAGAAGAAGAGTCTTGAACAAGAACTGATAAAACAAAAGATGGGGCATTGGGAGAGAATGTTTGGAAGTTTTATGCCTAATACTAATCAAAACTCTCTACTTCAACAAGAAGAAGGAGAAGGTGATAATGAAAATGTTGAGATGAGTGATGATGAACTTTAATTTTTTGTTAGACAAAATATATTGTATTTTTATATTTTGGACATGTTAATGTTTAATATCATGGAATGGTAAAATTTAGTTTGAGTTTCTTTGATTTTTGTTAGATCAAATATATGATTTTTTTATATGTTGGACAAGTTAAAATTTTAATATCATATAATAGTTTTATTTAATGATATGTAAAAACAACATGTACTTTTAAGTTAGTGATGAATGAAATTTGAATTTTTTGGTAATTTTAGTTAAGTATATTAAATTCTTATCAAAAGGTTTTAATGTATTTATTAATATAAAAAATAAATAATAATTTTCTACCAGAGAGGAAATTTGAGATGGAAAAGGTTAAATTTTTATCTATGCAAAGACGAAATTATATGTGTTTGAGATGAAATATTAGAGATGGAATAATATGATTCTGAGACGGTTATATTTGTCTCTACATAGATGGATTTAGAAAAGCCTTATATCATATGTTTGAGACAGAACTAGATTTCTTGAGACAAAATATATTTGTCTCTGCTTAGATGCGGATCAACATTTCTGTCTCTTAACAGCTTGAGACGAATTTTGCAGCAATGGATGTTGACCCGTCTCAAACTTCGTCTCCAACATCCATAGTGGCAGTTTTTTTTAACGTTTTATAGACATATTTGTGTCGTCTCTGATTCCAACTCCCTATAGTGACACCAGAAATAAGCAGCATATCTTTTGTAGCAGCCTAATTTGCGGCAGCAGTAATGGATTGAGGTGGAGTGAGCAGGCTTTGATAATCGTCCAATAACCTGAGACTTAAGACTAATTCGTTACGACATTTTCCTGAAACCCTCTTCTCTTTGTTGTGATATGTATGACCATATTTGTTTTCATCAATGGGCATCTGTTCTTCCTTCTCCTCTTCAACAAGTTGGCAACAAGAGGTGTGATGCATAACAACATGCATAAGTGGGTATAAGCTGTGAAAAAATACTTGTGCTTTTTTTGAAACTGTGATTCCATAGCTTTGATGAGAGACATAGAGATATGAAGTGAAAGATGTAGATTGTTGTTCTTATTCCGATGACATTGTAAAATTGTAGATTTCTGAATGTAGGATTAGGAGTAGGTAACTCAATAAATCAATGGTGTTTCAGGGTTTGAAGAAGATAAAAAAACAAGTTGATGATTTTTAGGGTTCCACTGAGAAGGCACATAGAAAATTAAGGATTCAATGGGAATAAATTTTGAATTGAAAGAAGAAAATAGAAATTTCTTCTAAGATTGGATTGAATTGTTTTAAGGGAGCGAAAAATTTATTTTATGGAAAAGCATATGAAAGAACCTGCTGGATGTTTTGACTCAAGGAAATGGTGTTTTCTTTATTATTTATTTCATCTGATAGCATTTATCCCGTATTATAATAATATGTTTCAATTATTGATGATATAAGTTGTATAGCCCTGCGGTTAACTTAATTTAATAACAAAGAGGTTTAGAGTTTGATTCATGTTGGCACACAATATCTATGTTTAAGAATTTTTATATTTTAATTAACGATCTCTAAGATAGCGCTTTCACTTAAGCACTATTGTAGGTGAGGAATAAATTTAGGTAGTGAAGGTTTCAAGTTCGAATCACACTTGCATGCAACAAAAAAAAATATTTCTATTGTTTTATTTATCTCTATTTATGATAGCACTTTTGGTAAAGTGCTATCATAGATCTGAATTTCTTCTTTTATTTTTAATTTAATTTTTTAGCTTATAATAGCTTTTTTTTAATAAAGCGCTATTGTGGGCCTATATAAATGTTAATCTATCATAACATATAATAGCACCCGAGATAAAACCTCTATTATAGGTTTTGTTGTACTAATATTTAATATACTTTACAAATAAGTGTTACTAAATATGCGTTATTATAGATCAAATATGTAGTAGTGATGGTTATACTCTAATGACAACTACTTAGGATAGAGAGGCACAATTTTCTTCTTATAAATACCACAACTTTTGCCTTCCACTTTCATTGTTCACGTATATAGCACTCGTTTCACTTAACACCTATTTCCTCTTGTTATTTTGCCCGTTGTTGCGAACTCGGTTTTCTTCATCCTCTCGCAAAGCCTTACCACATGTATTTCATTCTCCTTACTTTATATCCTTTTCATTTCATATTTAGAAGATGTTGTTCCTTAGTGATTGTGATATTAATGGTAATGCAGTTCAGCCTAACACCCACGATGAGAGGTGGGAATTATGGCACCGTTGTATTAAAGGTTTGAGGGGAAAAAGTAATGAAGTGAATTAGAAATTCGTTGAAATGAAAATCTTTAGAAGCTATGATAGTAATTCTAGTATTAGATTTGACAACAACAAAAGTAGAGATAGTGGTTTTGTTTTGATGTCTTCTTACCCATGGTTGAAATGATTGTTAATGGTGAATTCAAAAACAAGCGTTTCCTATTTCTATTGTGAATCGTGCATATAAATTCTTTGTTCAATAAAAAATGAGAGTGAAGGAATTCTCCAAGGACTTATACATATTAACCACTGGAAATGAAGATGATGTTTTGCTAGAGCCTTGGGTGGAGTGAGGAAAGGCATGTCCGAGGATTCCTTGAGGGGCGGAAATGAGTATTAATACATGTACCTAAGAATTCTAACTGATTTTAGGGTAGGGATTCCTTTCACTACCTTTGAGGTTGACGTTCTAAAGGTGATTAACATTTCCATTTTGTAACTCCACCTAAATAGTTGGGCCTTCGTGAGGAGAATTAAAATCTTATATGGGGTCCTTGGTGTTGCACCCTAAAATTTGCTCAACCTTAGTCACTTGGTTTATGTTTCAATATCATTAGCATTTGCATATAGAGTCATGTACATAGTCTAATCATCTGCATAGCATAGCATAGCAAATCATCCAACAGGGACCAAGCATTATTCTCATCTCTATGGGCCTATTAAGAGGTTATTATTCTGATTCAATCTCATTCAAGTCATCAGAAAGAATTTGGAAGCTGAGAAGTCAATGGATCAAGCAGTGCATCTATCTCCTAGCTGAGGGTATCTGGGGATCATCAAAGAGGTTGTGAGCTGTGGACTGAGCATGGAGAGTATGTGGGCATCATGGGAGACTTAGAAAGTCATTTGGAGAAGGATACAAGTCATTGGTGTGATCACAAGAATTGCAGTTGAAGACAGTCAACTAGGGTTTCATCTGGGTCAACCCTGGGTCAACTCTAGGTCAATTGATTGATTGAAAGGCATTGAGGTCTATTGGAGAGATGTGGGGTTCATCATTTGACATGTAAAGAAGGATATGTTGTTGTGCTAAGAAGAAATCAAGAGAAATCAAGGAGAAGAGGAGTTTCTAAATTAGGGTTTCTGTGTAAAATCCCCTAGTTTAGGTCAAATTTCCAAGCAAGATAAGTCAAAATGCAAGCTTCAAATGGATCCTTGGCCAACATGAAACTTGTAGAGGATCTCAAGACCTTTAATTTTAGTGGTGGAAGACATTAAGGAGATTTATAGAACTCAAGTTATGGTCCTTACAAGTTACAGGTCATCTGAGGTATCTGAAATTTTGTCTATGAAAGTGACTTGACTTCCAAGCAATTTTTACCCCTCAAGGAGATTTCAAATGAATTTCTGGTCAACATGAGAGTTGTTCCTCATTGTCTTAGATTTCTATAATGGTATGGTATGCCTTCATATGATTTGTGGAACTCTACTTATGGTCTTGGCAAGCAAAGGGTATTTTGGTCATCTGAGAATTACAGGTCATTTCAAGCCTATGCCCAAAACTCATACAAGGAAGCTTCAAATGGAAAACTTCACAACATCAAACTTGTTCAAAATGACATTTTGAGTCTATAAAAGTGACCATGAAAGATTGGAAAGATTCATAGCACAAGGTTTCAAAATTGATGGATTTAATGAATAAAAATGACCTAAAAAATGAGATTTTTCATAGTTTGGCCAAATGAGGTGAAATTATAGGTCATTTTGATTGGAAAAATAATTTTGAGAACATTGGCAAAAGTGGAATTTTGAGTTTGGTTCAAGTTTTGAAAGTTATTCATGGTTACTTATAATGGATGTTACATAACCAAAATGTAAGGAAAGAGTGCATGGGAAGCTTCTCCAAACTTCTAGGAGTTTCTAAACTCGTGTATATATTGATATGAAGAGCTCCATGCCATGGTTGGTGATTCATATTGATCAAAACACAAGTTTCATACCAATTTTCCATTTTTGCAAAAGCTTCTCAAACTACCTCAAATCTTCACCAAATTTCACAATTCTTGATCTGATCTTCATCACCATCATTCATAGATTACAATTCTCACAAGCATTTGGTAGATTGGAGTAGAACTCGGGCCACACACTTCCATCATCCAAGAAGCAAGAAACTTGGAATTGCAAGATCCAAGGGAATTGAACAAGATTCAGTGCATACAGAACTCAAGAACAGGTTCCCTGATCAATTTCCACTCATTGCAAGCATTGGATCAAGAGGTTTTAGCATCTGTTTTCACCATTTTGCACCAGGTTAGTTTCTATTCGAATTGCACGATTTGGTTAGGATCATAGAGGTTTGTTAGCATAGAATGGTTAAGCATAGTTAGATGACTGATTTTGGTGAGTTTGGAGAGGTTTCATGAAGATTGACCATGGGGTGCACAAACTATTGAAGCTTGTAACTATTAGAATATTGCATGATAATCTTGAATGAATAGCTTGTAATGATCAGCATAAGATATGGATTAGTTTAGGGCAAGAATTAGGGAGAATTGGGAGGTTTGATCACAGGTGATATTGATGGATCCAGACTGTTATGTTCATCGGGTTCCATTGTGGAGTGAGTTTTAGAAGGATATGTTGTCATGGCTGTGTAGAGGGAGGAATTTAGAGCAACTTTGCTCTTGGAGTCGTGAGGATTCATGGAGAGACGAGGGAGAACAGAGCTCTTGAAGGTGCATGCATGGCTAGGGTTTTCAGGCATTAGGGTTGGCTGGAGGT